TGTTTCTTTACAAAATAGTGATTTTTATTAAGTATCCAAACACATCACTATAGTTCGGGGCGGAGCGGACGAACCGTTTTGGTAATTTTTAAGGTTAATTATATAGTTAGGTATAATTATTTGGACCGTTTTGGTAATTTTTAAGATTAATTATATAGTTAGGTATAATTATTCGATACAGATAAATGTTACTACCCATAGGTCTTTGTCTTATATATCACTATTTCGTGTTCTAAACTCAAATTTGATGAGTACGTGACTTAACATGCCATTTATTGTATACAAATAACACATTTAACATTTTTTTGGGGTGGGGGGGGGGGAGGGAAGGGGTGCAGTATCGTCTCAACAAGTTTGGGGATCTAAAGCCAAACGCCATAAAGAGGCTCTATTTTTTAGTTGGCAAATATAGATTGAATAATTATACCATACTCATGTAATCATACAAATGAGGTCTAGAGAGATACGATATATGCTACACATTATGAAGTAAGAATGCAAACAATGTAAATTATTTTCAATGAAAATTATATAATATAAAGTTTAGAATAACAAGACATGACTTAATTCTTTTAAAAATATGGTGAATTAAATTAGTGTTGTGATGAATTTGATAAGTAGATATAATAATATCAAAATTGTGTTGATTAGTTTTGGTGCTTGAAATTTGAATAAGACACAAAAAACAAATTTATTCTTTTTATAAACACACAACAATAGAGATTTTACATAATGTAGAAGGTTTGAGCGTTTGAGAGACTTTAGAATATTCATTAATGAAAGAATAAAAAATATTGAATGGAGAATGAAGAAAAGTAAGTAGAAAACGCAATACGGTTGGTTCATGATAATCATGAGAATATAAATGAGCTAGACAACAAAAGAAATAGCCACATGCAAAATTATAAAAGATACTACAATTAACTCGCCACACAAAAATCTAAAAAAGATAATACAATCAACTAAACAATCTTTACAAAAAAAAATCTTTTAATATTTATTAGTACATGAAATTTTTTAAGTATATTTCTCTATCTCTCTCTATATTTATGAGAGAATGAAGTCTCAAAAAAGTTGAAACCAAGCGATTATTTTAGTGATCTTATGATCAAAACGGCCAAAAAGCACGTTTAGTTGAGGGACCAAACTCATATCAAGTTCAAGTTTAATATTGTTTTGCAAGAAAAATTAATTAGTATACGACTAACTTAAAAGAAAAATTATAAATTCAATTATTGTGTATACATGCAACGCAACCAAATATATATATATATATATATAATGTCCAGGGGAAATGCATAATGGGCTTGTAATAAATTCATATGATGATAATCAAATGTTAGAACAATAATTAGTTTCAACCGGTTATTATCGTGGAGATATATTTTTATTTTTAATCAGAAATTTTAAATTTAAATTTTCTCAACTCGAAGTTTCATTTGTTAAGAACTTCTTAATGCAAATATTGAAGTCGGATGAAAAATAAAAAAGTAGTAGCAAATTAAAGCGTGAAGAGGGCCGACGTGGCTGCAATCCAAATGGGCGCGATGTGCAGTGTGACATGACATATTTTTTCTGTTTTGATTTATGTAATATACTTTTATTTTTAATTAATTTAAACAAGAAATACAAATTTTCTTATCTGACTAATGTTTAGTGACATCAATATTTTTTAAAATAGTGATTCTTACTTATTTGACAAAAAAATCAACAAAATATACTCTTTTATTTAAAATATTACTTATTTTCAGGATAATTTTAGAACTTATCAATTTTATTTTTGTATTTCTTAAATTTCCTATTTTGTTAAACTTTATCAATAAATTAAAACAAAATGAAAATACTACATTGTTTTATCCTACAAGAAAAGAAGTTCCAATTAGGGTGTGTTTATAAAATGTATTTTCTTGAAAAATAAATTGATTTTTTACGTATAGATTATCAAACAATTTCTCAAATGATAATTTGAAAAAATCTGATTATATAAATGCAACAACCTCAACAAGTTTATTGGTATAAATCTGTCACGACTCAAATCGAGCCATGAGTGACACCCACATTTATCCTCCTATGTGAGCGAACCAACCAATCTAACCCTATCATTTCAAACATAATGAACTAAATACATTGCGGAAGACTTAAAAACTCATTAACAAAATAAATCAAATAACTTCTAAAACTCAAACATTTATTATTATCCCCAAAATTTGGAAGTCATCATCACAAGAACATCTATCCTCAATTTACTAAAGCTAAGAGTATCTAGAAAGCTAGAATAAACAAAAAGCTAGTCCATGCCGGAACTTCAAGGCATCGAGACATGAAGAAGATCCAGTCCAAGCTAGAAGCGTTAGCTCACCCTGAAATCCGGTGTAATGAAGACTGGCTAGAGTTGCGGTTGAGTTGAAGACGATGGCACATTTGCTACACTCCACAAATAACAAGGAAAGAAAATACAAGTAGGGGTCAGTACAAAACACGGGTACTGAGTAGATATCATCGGCCAACTCAAAATAGAAAACAATATATATCAAGTAATAATATAAAATCAACTACATTACTCAACATGTAGCAACAACAAGTACTATGATCGTTAATAAGTACCGCCAAGTTTACACATGAGGACTCAAGCCTCAATACCATACTCATTTGGGAATTAGGTTCATTAGATTGAGTATATTAACATCTTTCAAGATTCATCACCTTTATTCTTGTGTCGGTACGTGACACTCTGCTCCCCTACTACTATGTGTCGGAACGTGACACTCCAATCCCCTAGTTCTACGTGTCAGTTCGTGACACCCGATCCCCTAATTCTACGTGTCGGTTCATGACACCCGATCCCCTAATTCTATGTGTCGGTTCGTGACACCCGATCCCCTAATTCTACGTGTCGGTTCGTGACACCCGATCTACTAATCTCATTCTATTAATTCATCAAGCCTTCTTTTATACCAAGGCATCATCAATCTCATCAATCTCATCACTTTAGTTCATCAAGCCTTCTTTTATACCAAGACATCATCATTAACAAGGGGTTTTCAAGATTTGGGATTCAATAGCTTCATCATGCTTATTTCATCACAATTATATAATCACATTCATGCAAGCATACAATTAAGCATATAGAAGACTTTACAATACAACCCAAGACATATCATTCGCTATTAAGAGTTAACTACGAATAGTATAAAAAACATAACCTACCTCCACCGAAGATTAGAAATCAAGCAAGCAAGTTTCCAAAGCTGCGTTCTTCTCTCTCTCGCTCGATCGTTTCTCCCTCTCTCTCTCTGTTCTTTTTCTTTTTCTTGTTCAAACCCTCTTTCTTTTACCCTAATTAGCATATAATTAAGAATAAAAGATGGCAATAATAACCCACTAATTTACTCAAGGTTACCTCTTTTAACCCCCAAGTAATTAGACTTATTAACATTAACCCACTAACTTTATACTTATAGCAGGAATAACCCAAAACGTCCCTTAAAACATTTAAAGAAATCCGACCTCGCCTGGGATTACGCAGCCTGTGACGGGCCGTCGTGCCTGCGACGGTCCGTCCTGCTACTCCGTCACAGAGTTCAGAGACTGAAATTTACTGAAGAGTCTGTGACGGCCCGTCATGCCTGTGACGGTCCGTCCTGCCATTCCGTTACGAAGTTCAGAGAGTCGATTTCAGTACCCATTTTTCAGAATTTCTAAGTGTTTTGAAACGAGACCCCCTCGACGGTCCGTCGTGCCCATGATGGTCCGTCGTGGGTTCCGTTGTCTCAGCCTGTTTTTCCAGAAATAAAATCTGCTGCTCAAAACGACTAAACAGGTCGTTACAAAATCATCTTAATAAATTATGTGAAGTTTAATCAGGAGAGTAAAATGTTTTTCTTTTTGCACTATTTGTTTCTTAAATTAATTTTTTATCTCATTAGATTTTTCTCTTTTAACGTTTTTAACGATTCAAAGCAAGGTATATTACTACACGGTAGATGTACTTTCTTTTTCTTTTACTAAGTTTTTTGTCATTAATTTTTTTAAAGTAATATTTTAACAAGACATATTATTTATTAATTAACATATATGGACCTTATACATATACTATTATAAATGTTCATTTAGCCAAATATTTTCCTAGATAAAACTTACAACTACAAAAGTATTATACGAGTAGCCCATCTCACAAGCAATTTCATGAAAAGCTAACCTTAAAAGCAATGCTCGTTTCGATCAACTTATTTTAATTATTTTTAAGTTAAAATAATTTTTAAGTCGTTTTGAAGTATTCTGGTAAAGTTAAAAAAGTGCTTATAAATATTTATTTTAAGTTAAAATAATAAAAATAAGTCAAAAGTCATAAGTTAAAAATTCTAAAGTATGATTTTGGCTTTATAAGTCATAAGTCAAAAATCAATCCAAACATGACTCTAATTTTAAGTGTTTTTAAGTCAAAATAGCTTTAACTAGTTTTGAAGTATTTGAATAAAGTTAAAAAATACTTATAAACACTTATTTTAAAGTTAAAATAACAAAATAAACCAAATATAAATTAAAAATCCTAATTAATAATTTTTAACTTATAAATCATAAGCAAAACGTCAATCTAAACCGACACTCAAACGACAGCACCATAACAACTTCTTCTTTTTTCTATAAATAAAAAAGTGAAGTCATTTAGTTATCAAAAAAAAGTGAAGTGAGTTAACTTGTGCTCTCCTCCGTCAATATTAATTATTCATCTTATGATAAACAACTATCCTAAATTATCTAGTAATTTACTAATCAAAACAATGAATTTTTTCTACCATTATTATTTTTATAAACCTAAACAAGTTTATGTAAAAGTTTTTCTTTTTCAAATCTGTGGTTAAAAAGTAAATTAATTTACTAAAACTATTCATTTTATTTCTAATTTTAAAATAATGAAAATTGTAAAAAAATCCAAAGAGAGAAAACGGAGTTACTCAAACGGCGTACGCAAACCTCCCCGTAACTGCCACGTCCGTGAAATGACAAAAGTGGGCCCCGCTTTGTTTTCCCATTATGTTCTTATCACCAGAAGCAAGTAACAATTAGTAATTAATTAATTTAATTAAGTAATTAACAAATAAGTACATTTATTTATACTTCTAATTATCCTATACATACAGACCCCTTATATGTATAGGCGAGTCTTGTTAAAGCTGTGTATATATATATAGAACCAAAAACATTCATCTAATTCATCATCCAATCTACTCTATTATTCAAAACCTCTGTTTTCACCTTTTATTTTTGCTTCTAAAACACAAAGGATTCTTAGCTTTCTCCTTATAAAGACTCAATACTTTGCTTGTGTATTAGTTCAGAAACGTTCTTGATACAAATTTACTATTTGGGTATGTTTCTTTTTTTCATTATTTTTAAGTTTTATTCATGTGAGTCTAGATAAAGATAGCCCCTTTTCTGTTTTTTAGAAGATTTTGATGATAAAGTTTGGATTTTTATTGTTGAGAATGGATTAAAAAGTTCAGATCTCTATGTTTTGATGTAGTCTGTTCTTGAAGTATCTTGTTTCTGCATTTTTGTTAATGGGGTTTGTAGTTTTTCTTATCTTTGTTGTTTGTGTGGTGGTGGGGTTGGGGGTTGATTGTTGTGTGTGGTCTTTCTTATATGGACTTGAGCAATGCTGTGATTGAGCTAGTTTTTGTGATTGAGTTAGTCTTAGGTGTCGTATCTTTACGGGTTCCATCGTACTTTATTGGGATTGGTAAATTCTTGAAGATATTAGTAAAAGTTATAGGGAATGATAAGATTGGTTATGTAGGACTAATGAAGATTATAGTTTCTTATCATCAACCTGTAAAAGTGGCTGGTTTTGGATAGTTTAACTCTCTTTTGAAGTTGTAGGGACAAAAGGTTTTTCCTTTCTGGTTTGGGTAGCAAGGACTAAAAAGTCACCAGAATACTGTTTCTATCATGATCTTGATTATCTTTCTTCAAGTCTGCAGCTCAGGGGTTTTTTCTTGAAAATTACCTAAAACATATGCTTTTGACTATTCAACTGTGTCGCCGCATCCGTTTCAGATCCTTAGAAGTAAATTACTTTTGGAGGATCCGACAAATCATCGAACTAGTCTCTCTTATACTTCTTGTAAGTTGTGGATCCTCAATTGATCCAACTTTTGGGATCCTTGCATAGGAGGCAGGGCACTTACTATTGGAATTGTTGAAGGAGAGATTGAAAAATCAGATAGGCCTTACAATTGAGATTTTTGAAGGAGAGACGAAAATCGATTACGAGAACTTGATTGTTATAATGAAATGTGGTTATAAAGAGGTCTAACTGTAGTTTTCATTTCCGATAGCATAGATCAGGTTAACCTTATATTGGGTATCTTTGGATAACAAAAGATATATTTTTTATGACTCAATTCTGTGGTTTTCCATAGTTAATGCTGTACCACTTTGCTCTCATGACTTATTGGTGTACTTACTTTGATATTGAAGCCTTATCTTAAGGTGGTTTACCTATTAAATATGAATTGACTTGTGAGTTGGATAGGATGATCAGAGACACATATTTTTATTAAATGCCTTAGGTTTATCCATTTATTTACTATCTAGGCATCAATAATTCATATAGTTGTTCTTATCCTTGGAGAAACTGATTTGTACTTTGTATAACGTTAGATTTTTGTGATAGCTGTTGGATATTGGCTTTTGGGAAAAACCAATAGGTAGTTTCTCTTTGTACTCAACTTGTGCCTACATTTCATTGACCTTGTTTTTTTTCTTCATCTAAAACTAGATCCAAATAATGGGGCATTCTCTTGTAATTGATTAGACGTTTAGCATTGCATGGCGTCTTTTGTTTTATCGTTGCTTCTTTGAGTGTAGTGTACCATGAGGAGAAGATCAATAACATTTCCTTAAGGTTCACATGTTCAATGTTTATCGTAGTTCTGTATAGTGTTTATGAATTTCAAGTCTTTGTTCTTTTGGTTCTGAGATCCTTGAATTTGTATTTTTACAGGCATTAGAAGCCAACTTTGTTACATCAACAAGCAGGATATGGCCTTAGAACAGCTGGACACTACCTTTAACAAACACGATACTCCATTAGGGAAATGGAAGACAATGAACGATGAAGTTGAAGAGAATATTTCTGGTGGTTTTGAATGTAACATATGCCTGGATCTCGTCCACGACCCTGTGGTAACTTTATGTGGTCACCTCTACTGTTGGCCTTGCATCTACAAATGGATTCATTTCCAGAGTGTTCCCTCAGAAAATTTGGATCAGCAGCAACCACAGTGCCCTGTATGCAAGGCTGAAGTTTCAGAAAGAACTTTGATTCCACTCTATGGACGCGGTGGTCAATCTACCAAACCATCTGAAGGAAAGGCTCCGAATCTTGGTATAGTGATCCCACAAAGACCTCCTAGTCCAAGATGCGGCGGTCACTTACTGATACCAACTACCGATTCAAGTCCATCCCATCTACTTCAACGACGAAATGATCAACAACAGTCTCAAACACGTCAATCGCCTTATCAACCACAAAGCGCCTCACCAGGCACCACAGTTAATATGTTACAACCCTCCATGATTGGACAAGTGGCCTATGCAAGAATCTTTGGTAATTCATCAACAACTCTGTATGCATACCCAAACTCTTACAATCTAGCCATCAGCAGTAGTCCAAGAATGAGAAGGCAATTATCACAGGCTGATAGATCACTTGGGAGAATATGTTTTTTCCTATTTTGTTGCTTTGTGACATGTCTAATCTTGTTTTGAACACTTTGTCTGTTGCTTCTACTTTGTAAAAAAGAAGATATGATGTTGTAGTAGATAAGAAAATGTACAGCCTCAGCTAAATGTGTAAAAAAATCATAGAAGCATTTGCTTTCTTTGATTGTTGATAAAACACACTTGGAATTTGAGTGCTTGAAGATTTGAACCCTTTTTTGATGTATTAATCTAAGAAATGAGGTTGGTAATTCTATCCATTATTGTGCATAGAGATGAGTTTTACTACTAATTCTTGCGTAATTAATTTTTACGATATTAATCTTTGTACCAAACGATTCTTTAGTGTGTTTGGCGGGACGATAACATTTTCCAAAAATATATATTTCAATTTTCATGGTTCGAGAAATATTATCTTTAAAGCAAGACTTTTAGCTTAATGTAACGATAAATATAATAAGAAGATACAAAATTAAGTAACAATCAAGATAAACATTATATTTAATGAGCGATGATAAGTTATGAAATGATACATAACAACATTAATTACATTAATGAAATTTGTTTTTCCTTTGAATAAGAGAAGTTATTTTCTTGATTTTTACATGTTCTACTTTTAATTTCCCATCCTGTTGTATTAATTTACTATGTATAAATGTTAATGTACTATATTTTACTTAACTTTCCAAACACTCGAAATACATTATATATATAAAAAAAGATATGTTATTTTTTTTATGATCCTACCAAACACACCCTAAAAGGAGGCTAATTTTGTGTACCTTATTTTTTCTTATCAAGAAACAAGATAACCAAAATTGAATTGGTATATTTTCTCTGTCAACTTATTAGTTGGTGGACCTTATTTAATTCCTTTTTTTTTTAAAAAAAAGACCAATTCTGATTGGTTCTTTTCTTATTCTTTCTTTAGAATATAATATTATTATTATTATTTTATTAGAATAAAAGTGGTGTATCAAGTTATTCCACATAGCAAAGTTACTAGCTTTCACATTGTAATGGACATTTTTAATATTATTTTCGTGATAACGATCTTCAGATAAATCGTATATTTTTCGATTAATTTAAAATAGTTAATATTTTTTTTATCAATATATGTGTATTGAAAAACGCAACTCACTAATATTTAAATTAAAAAATAAATCAAATATCTTTTTTTGATCTATTGAATTTAAATTTTGAATTTCTATAATTTAAATTCTTAAATTTATATGATATGATTAATTCATCAAATGGGCATTTGATTATAAACCTGTCACAATCAAGGCATCAACATCAGAAAGCGAAATTATATTCCTCTCATTTGCTCGTTCTTATCAATACAGAATCATTTGTTTGATTCAAAATCAAGTTATTCGAAAATTATAATAATTTTAATAAATATTATTACTAGCATATATAATAATAACCAATATTTTGAAATTAAATATATTATGAAAATCCTTCATATATGATATACATCTTCTATAACATTATTCATTTTTTCTAAAATATTTAAACCTTTTATCTAAAGAAAATCCTAAAACTTCGTCAAACTAATAAGTATGTTTAAGATAATTCTAAAACAGAAGGATTAATAAAAAAAAAAAAAAGATAATTGTTTAGATAATAACTTAATAATAAATTAATAAAGTTTACAAATATCCTACATTATTAAAATACAGAAAAGTTATTAAGTACTAATATCCAACATTTTCACTTTTATCACATTTATAATACATATTATCTAAAATAATTTATAAAACAATATAATACAAATTTTATTGATAAATAATATATTCATCGCACATCTTAATATAACATGTCAAATTTCTTAACAAATAAGTATAATATATTTTAAAACAATTATAATACATATACATATACATATATATATATATATATATATATATATATATATATATATATATATATATATATATATATTTGCATACATAATTCTTTTTCAGTAGATTTATGATAATATTTCTATAAATAGTAATAATAAAAAATATGCTAAAATCAGTAATTATTTATTAAAAGATAATTATCTAAATAACTTCTCCATAAATATTTAATCCTTCTTGTTTTTTGTTCTCACCCCATGTCAGATATCTATATTGAAACTCAACTAAATTCGAATTTATATCTCAAAATTTCACATCAACAGATAAAATATTTTTTAACAAAAGCGACTCTGTAGAGTCTCGAGAAATAAGGATCCATCCTTATTAGGAAATGGCCACTTATTATTATTTAAAGGTGACACCATTTCGTGCGTGGTGGGCGCCGGCGGCAACGGTAAGCAGCCATGCTGACGGCGTCTGTGCACAGTGATGGAGATAATATATATTTATTTTTTTTAATTTTTAGTGATTCACAATTTACAGCTCAGCCAAAAGAAATGTCCAAAAGAATCCCATACCTAAATCACAATTTTCACTTGATTGTGTTTTTTTTTTTTTTTTGGTTTCTTATACTTTGTTCCAACTTGCTTTTTGTACTCATTTTTCTTGCAATTATAAGCAATGATGCTCATTTCTGTCCATATGCAACTATCCCAGTCTAATCACAGTCGTTCGTTATACTAAAAATATTTATTTAATAATATTTCTTCAATTTAAAAAAAAATTACTTTTTGTGTCTGAGTAAAAATATCTTAAAAGATTATTCAAGTATGTGAAATTGTTTCAAAAAGTCATTCAACTTTGTTTTATATTAATAAAGTCATTCAACTTATCAATTTTCTTTTATAAAATCACTCAACTTGAACTATTTTTCTGAAAAATAGTTATAACCAAAAAATAAATAGATAATTACACAAACCACCCTTAAAGTTTGATTTTGCAATACTTATTTTAATTGTAGTTTAATAATATTATACTTTAACTCTTATTTTATTTATTACTTCAACAAATATTTTTTTACCTAATTATTATTAACATAAGAATTTATGATTTAATTAAATTTCTATTTCATCCATTTATTTAATTTTTTATGAATAATATAATTTCTTCCTTCCATTAATATATACTTGTCAATTATTTGTATATGATTACATATGTGCATCCATAATGATTGAATGGATAAATTTGATGCTGAATTCGGCTTCATTAAGTTGATTTATACACTCTTTTCATAACCTATGCATTTCGTTTAAGTATTCTTTAACTTTTTTTACTTAAGAAACTGCATGTATGTTGATCAATTTAATAAATGTGTGATAAATAAAAATTTAATCAAATCATAAATTTTTATGTTAATAATAATTATTAGGTTAAGAAAATATTTGTTAAAGAAAATAAAATAAGAGAGTTTAACGTAATATTATAAACTATAATGAAAATAAATATTACAAAACTAAACTTGAAGGGTGGTTGTGTAATTAATTTTTTTATTTTTTGGTTATAATGATTTCCTAGAAGAATAGTACAAAGTCGAGTGACTTGATTGATACAAAACAAAGTTGAGTGACTATTTGAAATAATTTCAGATACTTTTTCTTTTAAGTTATTTACTCCTATTTTATTCTTACTATTAAATATTCCATTATTTGTCATCTAACATATTTTTCAAAGCATTATTAATATAGTAGCAATACTTTATTATTTATTATTTCTTAAGGGGTGTATCAAGTCAATAGTGTACATCTATTATTGAACACAAGGAGTATATTTTTTTGTTTCAATATATGTAATGGTATTTAATTGAACACGAAATATAAGAAGGAAATTTTTTAATTTTTTTAATAATTTAATTACTCACTATTAAGAACAAAATAGGGAGAAAATAATTAAACTTATCTTGAACTTTTATAATGGATTAATGAGAAACCATTAATGGACATAATTTAAACCAAAATTTCTGCTATTGCCCTTTGTAAAATTATAAATAATTTTGCAAGTAGTGCAATTTATTATCTCCTAGTAAATAAAACTGCAATAAATGAAAGTATAAATATGAAAAAAAAATCATCTTAAACTTTATACAATTAAATTATTTAGAACAATAAAAAAATCTAAAAGAATCACTTAATATGAAACAGAGGAGTATATGGGAAAATATATAAAGAATTTACATATTGAACCCATTTAATTTTGAATTTAAAATTTCGTCTCTAATTATTTCCTTGAGTTAATGGCTAATAATTGCTCTTACAATACATTTTATCTTTATAGATTTGTCCCCTAAAGATCTTCAGCTACACCATATCTCATAACTAAGCAGAAAAAAGAAGACAACAAAGAGATAATATATATTATTATATCTCTGCAGAAAATTAATTTATTTTATTTATATTGCATAGAAATGAAAGAAAGAAATTATCATTCCCCTTTTTCTGGTGTCACTTGTCAACCAAAAAAAAAAAAGTTACAGCTTGTAAAAGTAACGAAGGGAACTTGTAAAAAGAACCACTTTCGCGGAGTTTCAAATTCTATAAGTGAAAGAAGTTTTACCTGTGAAAATTTGAACTCCATGAATCATGACACTGCCTATTTTTCGAAAAATAGAACCGAGAAGTGATCACTGAACGCTACTTCTACCTGCCAAGTCTGCAACTATAGAACAGAGGCAGAGATCATTCTTTTAGAAGCAGCAATTGAAAAACCCAACTAATAAAAGGCAGTAGAAAGTTTTGATTAGTGATCATGATAAAAATTTAGAGAATCGTATAATCCGGCATCCAGTGTCAACAAGTCTCCTCAAGGTCTGTTTCATTAAGTGCCTCGGACTTGCGATTTCCAATTTCAATATACTTATCTAAACCCCCCTCAAATTCTTTCGAGCAGAGACCTCGCACCCTAAGTAAATCTTTAAGCTCTTCTTCACCTTGAGTATCTCCTTTTGATTGCAAGTACTTCACACAGGAAGCCAAACTGTGGAAGTGTGGCTTCCACCCTGGCTTACTAGCCAAGATTGCTTTCTTCATCGTCTCCACTGCCTTGTCCATGTCATTTTGTACACAATAACCAAGTGCCAGACGATTCCATGAGCTCCCATTGGGATGCTTCCCACTTGCCTCGAGTTGCCCTATGAGTGATATTGCTTTTTCCATATGACCCTTCTTGCAGTAAGCACTTATGAGCAAGTTTGGAATTCGAATGTCAAAGTGTACCCTGTTTGTTTCCCACTCAGCAAATATCTTCTCCGCACCGTCAAGATCATCCAACTTTTCTAGTCCACGTATCATACAATGATAACTTGAATTGTGACGCTTAACTTTTTGCTTGTATTTATTCCATATACGATAGACATCATCTTT